AAAATGTGCCAATAAAACAATATTAAAAAAAGAAAATGCAGTAGTAAGAAAGAGCTTTTTCTGTTTATTTGTTTTTCATTTTCATTAGTCATGACTATCAAGATTCTTCTACAGCAACTCTTCCAACCACATTCTTTCTTTTCAGTCAGTAACTGAGTTGCTTAGTATTTATAACTTTTTTCCTCTTAACATTATAATAGAATTGTAGCTTGGTGCTATGGTTTGGATCTTAAATGTACCCAAAGGTCATGTGATGAAGGCTTAGTGTCCGGCCTGTGGTGCCCCTAGGAAGCAGTGGACTTTGGGATGGGGGACAAGTGGAAGGAAGCTTGGTCATCGCGAGTGTACCCTGGCAGGGGACCCTGAATCCTGGCCCTTCCCTCTCTTATTACTTCCTGCTGCCCAGAGATGCTATGATGTTCTGTCTGCCACAGGCCCAGTGGCACCAGGGCCAAGCAACCATGACCAGAAACCACCAGCCAAAATGAGTCTTTCCTCCTCGGAAGCTGATTTCCTCACTGTGACAGAAAGCTGACTAGGACATGTGGTGACAAAAAGGAAATGCAAATTCCACAGAAACATAAAATTAAAAATGAAATTCCCCTCATCCCAGCACTTCTCAATATTTGTAATCATCTTTAAAAGGCTGGAGTACATTCTTCCAGACATTTGTGGTTTTTGGCACACAAACGCATACACACATGTGTACTCCCAATACCTCCTTCCAACCGTCCACCCCGTTAAATCATGCAGTGTACATATATGCTCCTAGAGTTTATTTTGCACTTGTGGACATCCAATCACCTGCTGCCACATCAGGGCTGCGGACTAAGTGCCTTCCCTCCATTCCATGGTATGATTATGTTGCAGCTGTCTTTTATGGTTCTGTTTGAACATTTCCACCTTGCTGGAAATTTAGGTTCTTCTACTACAAATAATGAACATCCTAGCTCAAATGTCCTTACACACTTCTATTTTTCGATATTACAGATTCCAAAGGGTGCAATCAATGCATCGCAGAGCATGTACATTTTACATTTCAAGAGATCCTTCCGATCTATCCTCCCAAAAAATGCTACATGAATTTATATTTCCAGAAAATAGGTCCAAGGATGCCCTTTTCCCATATCCAATTAATACTGGATATTATTTGCTTTTGATTTTTGCCTATGTGATGAAGTTCTAAATGTCATTTTTTTGTTCTAATTTCTAGTTTCTTGGTATTAGTTAAGGTGAACATCCACTTATATGTTTACTGGTAATATTAAGTATAGATTTTACTCAGTATTTTTCCAACTCTGTCTATTGTACTTTTTACCAGACTTTTCTTACCACCTCTCTCCTAGTAATTATAAAAGTTCCTTCATTATGCACAAACATATATTATTAAATTAACATTTAGATCATTAATGCATGTGAATTTTGTTTTTGTGTATAGTGTGAGGTAGATTTCTCCCTGATGCTTTTTAATAGTCCATCTTTTTTCTTACTGATCTTAAATGTTACTGTTATCATAATTTAGGGGTGTGTGGATGTTTATTTATTTTTTGGTACCAGGAATCAAACTCAGGTCCTTGTGCTTGCGGGGCAGGCAGCAGAACCACTGAGCTACATCCCCAGCCTGTGGATGTTTATTCTTTTGTGAGCTACTTCTCCTCTTAGACCATCACTGCAAACCTGAAATTCATATGGCATCTAAGGAATTGGGTCATTGATTTCTGCAGAAAACTGTAGGAATAAGCTGCCTGAGCCTCAGCCTTTTCGGGGAGGACACGAGTTCTGGAAAGAATGTTCTTCACACAAACTCAAATCAAGCATTCAAAAATGTGCAGGACGTGGCACCAAGTCACGGATCCAGATCCTGGAAGAGGCACAAGGAATAGGAGGGAGGGGACAGAACAAGTTCCTGAAGAGCTCCCATCACGTCACTGTTCTCCCTGGCAGCTGAGTATCTTTTACAGGATATGAAGGCCAGGGTACCTGTCCTCTACTTGGGACACATACTGCATCACCCAGGCCAGCTCTGATGGGCATTTGTGTGCAGAGACATTTTTGTGTCCTTACTTGTACTATAGTGAATCCTTGGCTTGTGTCTGGTAACATCTTCCTGTTATTGATAGTCACCTCAGCCCATGCAAGTATCACCTTTAATATCACCCAATCTGGAAATCTCAGCCTTTACATATTCTCTGCTTCCCTTTCCAGTCAGTGCTAGATAGTTTCAGAACTTCAGGACTAAGGTTCTTATCTTACTCATCTTTGTCTTCCCAGAGACTAGCACAGAACTGAGAACACTAGTAAGCAAACGTTTTTATCTCAGTCTGCTCCCACCACTTAGGTATATCACAGAAACTACAGAGGTGATTCACTGGTGACCAGACTCCCCACTCCTCATCTTAAATGAGGCAAATGGAAGAGTGAAAATGCAGAACATCATCAAGGAGGGTGCACAAGTGGCAAGTAAGCACTGAAAAAGATATACAGCATTATTAGGCATCAGAGGAATCCAAACCAAGACTACCCTGCGCTGGCCCTGTGCGTCTATCAGAATGGCCAACATTAAAAGTAGTGACCCCACCCAGTGTTGGTGAAGATGTAGGGAAACGAGATCATTCACATACTGCTGGCTGGAATATAAAATAACATCATGTCTCAAGAGAGCCATACATTGTTTCTTGTAAAACTAAATATACAA